TGAGTATTTTGTAAGAAATGGACATTTCTTGTCCTCATGGTAGTGGAGATGGGAAATCTAAGAATAGGTCCTCAGTGTCCACTGAGCTGTTGGTGGGGGTCTTCTTGCTAAATCATAATGTGGAAGAGGACCAGCACAGGASAGACAGAGGAAGCTTCTTGGAGATACGTGGCTTTTATAGCAAAGTCAGTCCCCACAAAACCTATAAATTCCTGAGTGGACTGATCAGTGCCTGTGCATGAGGGCAGAGTTCTCTGAGCCAATGACCTCCCAGAAGTACTTCAGTTCCCGTTCACACATAATTTTGGATTAACTTTCCAACAATGGGTTTTCAGGGCACAACCATTGAAACCATAGTATGAAGTGACTTTTAAAGTTGAATGAAAATCGCTAGCATCAYCTACTTTTCTAAAGTGACCTTCAAAAATGAGTCTGTCACAAGGAGAGAGAGAGGAAGCTTCTTCGAGACACCTGACTGGTGTCCTCCAGCCTGGATGATGGTTTATTTTCAAGTTTCCCCTTTAGATTTCAGGCAGAGAATCTTGAGGTAGGGGACTTAGTGTTGTGGTATTCATGTATCTTATGTCCTCTAGGCTGTGGTGAATGCAGACATGGGAAGAAGTGGTCACGTGGAAAGTGAGTTCAAAAAGAGAGAGAGAACATGAAAATGGGGTGAGTTTTTTTTTTTTTTTTAAGTCTTTTTTTGTTTGTTTGTTTTTAATGTGGTCCAGGACTCTGTTCATTAGATCTCACGTTGATATGCAATGGAACCCAAAAGAAATTTTTTTATCAGGGGAGCAAGTTTTCTGAGATTGAGCAAAATGCAAGGCAGCCGTAGTTTCTGGACTGTTTCTCCTGTGGCCATTTTATTTATTTATTTCTTCCAATTGGAGGGGCACAAGTGGAGCACCTAGAGGGAAATCTAGTTAGGGAAACATTTTCATTGGGTCCCATCCCATGAGCACTTAATGCATGACAGCCCTAGCAGATAAGGCAGGGAGGGCCAGTACCAGGTCTGATGGTCCAAGATCCAAGCTGGGCTTAGCAACGTCCTTGTCGAGGGCCACGCAGGACCAAAGCACAAAGGTAGAGTCTTGTAGGAAGTGATCCGCGAGACACACTAGGATTGATTACACAGGTGCCACCTGAGCTGGCCTATCGGGCTTTTCTCACTGAGCTGAGAGGACAATGACATCACAAACGGGCATTGTGTGTCTTGCTCCAAGGTGAGGGACAAGAGGCTAGTGTCCCCAGAAACCTGCAGTAGCATGTGACAGGGTTTATCTGTTCCTGTCCACACAGCTTCCTACCAAGGCCCTGCCTTGTGACTTCCTATGACACCATCTCCTGGCTGCTGCTGCTTCCCTGGGGACCCCTGGTCCTGTGGGTTCTTTGGGAAGAGACAGCCATTGATCAGGTTTGGAAATCCAGATTGCACCCAAGCCTCTTGTAACTCCCTACACAATTCAGTTTCTCCGAGCTAACACCAAGAGCAGATAAATAATAATGTCAGTTGTTTTTGACTCTATTTCTAACATATGTGATAACTTTGAAAAAACACATCAGTATGTATGTGTCTTACAAAGTTGATAGGCATATCTGTCATGCATCTTAGGCATATGTGTATGTGTGTAAATATATATATATATATATATATATATATATATATATATATTCTTTTTTCGATAAGACTATTGGATGGTGACTGTTTTAAAAAGAATCAAATTTCACTAAGTGCCCTGGCACTTTCCTGTGTTCCTGACGGCCTGGGTGGCTGAGGCAGGATTTGTGAACTTGTTACAATTTAGCAATACCCTTAGATAACTTAGAGAGATCCTGTACCAAAATAAAAAATAATAATCATTTTAAGAAAAGGATTAGACGTTTTTCTCCATGGTTAAGCACCCCTGTGATCAATGCCCAATACCAAAGTCAAAAAAAGAAAAAAAAAAGTTTATTTGGCTCAAGTTTCTGAAGACAGGAGTGTCCACGAACATGGTCTGGGGATCTCCTTGACCATTGGTGAGGGTCTTTGGGCTAAATCCTAACATAGAAGAGGCCATCCTGAGGCCAGACAGAGCTGTCCCGCTGGAGAGAATTGACTTTGGTAGCAATGTCACTCTCCTAAGGAAACTTATGAATCCTTGAATGGACTGATTTATGTATGAAGGGTGAGTCCGGTAGAGCCAAACACCTCCCAAAGTGCCTCCAAATATGATCAACCTGTAATTTAGGGATTCAAGTTTCTTTTTKTGTGTGTGTGTGTGTGTGTGTGTGTGTGTGGTGCTGGGGTTTGAACCCAGGGTCTTGTGCATGCTAGGCAAGCACTCTACCAACTGAGCTATATCCCCAGCCCAGGGATTCAAGTTTCAACACAGGAATTCCAGCGGACACACACCGAATATTAGAGATAGGTCATGCTGTGATTTCCATCAAAACCACTAAGACGCCGGGTGTGGTGGTCCTCTCCTGTAATCCCAGCAGCTATGGATTTCACCTTTCTTCTTTAGGCTTCAAAGGTGGTAAAAAGGGTGTAGTACAGATAACAGTAATGAGAGTTTATGCGCACCAACTCCTTAAAGCTGTGGTAAACAGCAACCAGCTCCAAACAATAATATAAGCATTAATTCAATTTTATTACAGATTTTTCTTTCGAGTGAGACTAATTCTACACAAATGTAAGTGTAGATTGATCATCAGGCATAGAAAGAATCCAAAAAAGTGTTGGGTCCCCTGGAAGATTGCCTGAAGGTGCTTTTCTTTCCCTTGGCACATGCTTATGTTTTGACTCCTTGTCAAATATCATTCTTTTTATAAATTTTAATTTTTTTAGTTGTTGATAGAACTTTATTTGTATTTATTTATAAGTGGTACAGAGAGTCTAAACAAGTGCCTCACATGTGCTAGACGAGCGCTTTACCGCGGAGCCACCATCCGGGTCCCCTCAAATATCATTCTTCAATTCGCTAAAGAGAAGGGCTTTGTTGCCCACACTTATACTCCCAGCAATATGAGAGGCTAAGACAAGAGTATGGCAAGCTAGGTCCCAGACACGGCAATGAGTGAGGCCCTAAGCAAGTTAGCAAGTCCCTGTGTAAGAATGAAAAGTAATCTTTGAGGTGGAGCAGTGGTGCTGGGT